AAGGTTAAAGGGCAGAAGCCGGTTGTTTTGCTACCTACAGTAGGCTTACCGGTGCTTCAGGGAGAGTGGAGGGGTGGGTGGATCCTTATAGGTTATATAAATATATATACCTACATTCACTCCCCCACTCCCCTGCAAGCACCAGTTGGTAGCGGGCAGATAATTCCATAAGATTCATCTGCCCGACGACTTGTTCTTTCGGAACCTACCTGGAACCCAACAGTAGGTAAACCAGTAGCCCTACACCTCTAAAAACCGCCCAAAAGGCAACTATTCTACATACTTTTGGGGTTCAGGTAAACCCTAAACAATAAACCTTCTAGACTTCCTCCAAAGGTTGCACGGCCATAATATAGTCTTAACTGCTAGTATCCCGCTCAATAGTTACCCTACAATAGTAGTCCCCTATATAATCCCTTATATAACCCCCTTCAAGGAGTTTAGATTACGGCTCATAAGAGAAAAAACTTCTGGAACGTACCGTGTCGTGGTCATAGCAGCAGGTCAAGAACACCCTCTTCTGGGTCACAGTCCTCTGTCGCGAGCCTAGGAAGGGATATTACAAAAACTGCCATCTATAATAAGGAGTGAGGGACTATGGCATATTACCGGGTTGTTACTGGAGTTTCTCCCTACCCAGTCATGAGCAGATACGCAGTTTCCCAGAATCCGCCTTGGTGCTTCGCGCCCGGGCGCAAGGCCCATCCTCGAAGTGAGCCAGGTCTGAAAGTGCTATGGCGCCATCAGCGGAGGCGCTCAGGACCTTCGGTTTGGGGAGCTCAGAACCCGCCATGCTCCCCATTTGCGGGTGCAGGGATTAGAATTGGGGACCTCTCGTACACTCACCAAAACTGAGGTGGCATCCATATGAATTATTGGGAGTGCGCATGACTGGATAAGACTAGCGCAGTAGGCTGGGGTCCTCAGAAGCCCTTGAGAGTCCCTTACTACACCTCTTTCTGTGGAAATTAAATGGGTGATCGACTTCACTGTCCACGTTAACGCATCCGGAATGTACGAGCATCCTCAAACTCTGGCAGCCCTGGCCGCACAATTGCCTGGGTGCCGGAAAACATCCGCCGAAGGCAACCCTTGTCAACTGAATTGCAGGGCACTGGAAAGGAGGTCTCCAGTTGAATGCCTCTGGAAAAACTATTGTATGATAGGATGAGTGCATCTTTTGGATCGCCGGCGCATGTTCACGCCTCTATTCCCGTATGCCTACATAAGCTACCGAGGTGCTGTGGATTGGATGATGCAGACCGTTCAAGGAACTAAAGCCTAAACACAACATAGTGGCTTCCATGTTGTTTTCCATTGTCTTTTCCGTTTGGTTCTCCATTATGAGGGGTAACATCCACATATATACCTACATGGTGGCTTCCATTTGATTTCCCATCTTTTCCTTTGGATTATCCATTATTCGGGTTGATTAATTAAAGTGTTACATTCCCTTAAGACCTAAACCTTAAGCCCTAAATGCTAAACCCTAAGCCCTAAACCCTACACCCTAAGCACCCAACCCTAAACCCTAAACCCTAAGCCCTAAACCTAAACCCTAATTTTCTAAACCCTCAACCCTCAGTTTGCCAGGCAAGGGCCCCGGCCAGGCGACAGCGGCATCTTTCAAGAGAGATCCGAGAAATCCCAGTGTCCTCAGATCAGACCCCTAAGTCCCTAAACCCTAAACCCCTGGGAGGATCTAGAAAGTAGCAACCCCAATACTCTACCCTGAACTATTGGATAATATTGGAAAATTAGGATTTAGGATTTAGGGACCCTTCAGGGGGATCTACTTTCTAGCCCCCCCCCAGTGTCTGGACGAGAATTGCTGGCATCTTTCCAAGCGAAGAGCCAGCGGGGCAAGTCAACAGCTTGTTCATACTTTGAATGAGCTGAAGTCGGGACCATTAGATACCTTAAGCAAAAAAAAATCCCGCGCACATTCCTCTTTCCCCACACATCTGAGTTATTGGTAGAATGCCATCTGCGAAGCCTACAGTGGAAAGGGTTGCCTATGGAAGCTCGGATCTTGTACCAGTAGCAACAATGTATATGCAAGGATATAACCTCTAATAATGAAGAACCAACTGGCAACTACCATGTAGGTATGTAGGGATATTACCCCTAAGAATGGAGAATAACATGGACAAGAAAATGGAAAATATAATGCAAGCTACTATTTCATTAACAATAATACGACTAGAGTAGACAATTGGGCCATCATCTAAACTCCCAGTATCCCCCTGAATAACGCCTGTAATAGTCCCCATGTCATCCCTCATGAGCCCCCCTTCAATAAGAAGTTCGGACCCTAAACCCTAAACCCTATATAACACCTTTCAAGGGGTTTAGATTATGGCTTAATTGAGGCGACGTAAATGCTACTAACGGTTGTGATGCTCTGCGAACTGAGGTGCTGGACTTTTGGCTATCCAGGCCTTTACCAACAGAAGGGTTTCAGGTGTAGTGTAACGGTGTGATTTGCATAACCTCAGCTTCACAGAAAGGGATTCTCACAAGAAAGAGCAGCTGTGTGCCCAGTGGGCTTGAACTAAATACTCACAGATGTTGGAAGATCACGGGCTGACGGGAAGTCTTGGTCCTGGGGTCAGATCAGATTCTTACGCACCTGTCACATGCATGATCTGTGGATGTGTGGCTGACGTATGCTCGTCCATTTCAGTATCAAGGTATGCGAAGATGGTAGTTGCCAGCTGACTGCTTACTCACTGTTAGCTTGGCTACTAAAGCAGCACAGCTTCGTGCAGCCGGCAGCTGCGAATCAGCTCGATGTCATCTCCTCCGTCCCAACTTCGCATGGCAAGCCATGAAGTGCTTTGTCTGAGCGAGCGGACAGTTCAACCCAAAGCACGTCTAGGTTACTATCTTACTCTTCTCATACATTTGCTTGCAGAAGTTGATTCAGCTAGAAGCTGAGAGCGAACGGTACAGGTCTTGCCTGATTCCCAAGAAGGCTTCTTCGATCATCTTTCACTGAATAGTCATACATCAGCGCGCTGGAAGCAACGAAAAAGCCCAAGATGCCATCGTTAGCACAACCATGCTACAGGACTGATCAGACTCTACAGCAGGCTGCACCCTCCAATTGGACATGCGAAGGTTTGGAAGATCTCGTAGTTTCCAGAAATCGAGGGAAGCCAAAACAAATTGCAGAATACTATACTATAATTCTGATTAAACAGGGACCTAAACCCTAAACCCTAAACCCTAGACCCCTAATTTGTAGCAACCCTCATCTCAGAACCAGCACAGTTGACTGAAGAAACCGCTGGGACGCTTAAATTTGGCAGTATTTTGAGGCGGGCACGTGTGAGAATTCGGGCATTTCGCTAAGAGCAGCCAGGACACAGGCGAGGTGAGGCTGTCGGTCTTGCATGTCTACGTGGAGGGTCAGGGGGACTTCCTAAGTAGGTTAATAATGGGAATATCTAAGGTTACTACATGGGTTAAAGGGCTTATTAACCTACTTACTAAGTCCCCCTGACCCTCCAAGTACTTGCATCCGCTCTACTAAGGACAACTTAGATAGCTTGCTTAAAGAAGCCAGCAATTCTGCGAAGGTGCCTATGTAATTATGTTCACGCAGGCATGGTCATGAATCCTCCCCCAAAATTTCAGGCTAACCGTATGCGAAACCACCGCCGCCAATGTGCACTGGACTGAATTAAAGGTGGCAGGTGACTGCCGGTCATTTTCAGCGGAGCGGCAGGCCGACCCTAAAAGCATAGGCCAGTCTGCCATCTCACGTCATAAAAAACATGGAGATGTGCTTTTGCACAGCAACGTCTGCTCCATCAGAGCTTTCATGGATGGAGTGTTGCTATGCATCTTTGTCCGGGGCATCCACGAAGGCTGCTGAGGGAGCGCTGCTGAAAACAAGCGAGGTATTCGTGCTATCATTGTCGTCAGTATTGTCATTGTTATCATTATCGTTAGTATGGGCTAGGTATAACGTCCAAGCCCAAAAGGAGCGCCATTCACTCAAGCTCCATCATCGGCTGTCAGATTAGTTGTGCAGCAGTTTTTTGGTCGGTCCAGATAGCCATTTTCCCCTGAAGCTATAGAAACTCTACGCAATCTTGTGGGGCAGCTTCTCCAGTCACTCCCGTGTATGGGAGCTGACAGTAGAGTTGCTTTTAGGGGTTTAGGGTTTAGGGTTTAGGGTCCTCAGAAGCCGCGCTCGCATGGCCCCTGCCGCATGTACGTTTTCGACACATTGAGTCACTAGGACCAAGAGGGACTTCGTGCGGACGACTAATGCTCACCTTATTGATGACCGGGAAGTCCAACAGCCAATCATGTAGATTCTGCCTTGCGCGGGGCATGGATTCCTCTGGACAGTTTTCTTTCCGGGCATCATAAGATCACACCAGAACGACAACCCCAAGGTACCTGTTCAACATGGGAGTTCATCAAAACTGCCCTTACAGAATCCCTTAATGGCACAGCAACCTCCATGATGGAATCTCCTTTTTGAGAAACCTCATATGTGCTGTATATAGTCTAAACCCTCTAGTATCCCCTTTAATAACCCCTATAATACTCCCCTATAATCCCCTATATAATCCAGTCTAATTCCCTATACAGATCCGCTTTCAGGGATCTAGACTATAGCTCATATACAAGAATACCCTGCATAATCCCCATATATTAGAATACCCTGCGCAATCCCAGTTTCCATTTCATTGTTCATTCTCTTTTCCATTTGATTCTCCATTCTTGGGGTATGTAACCCTAAGCCCTAAACCCTTATTGGGGTACGTAATCCCCTATATATACCCCCTAAAGGGGGTCAAGACTGTGGCTCATATGGTACTTTCCCTAAATAAGGGGATCCCAATATAGACCCCAAAATACTAAAATCCTTATTATGGGGACCCTCAAAATGGTACCCCTAATTTTGGGAAAACCCCATATAGTATAATTCAATCTGGGGGCTTCGCGAGCCCACCGGCCTGCGGCAACTTCTTCTTTTGTTATCGAGAATCCTGATTCCAGGGTTTAGGGTTTAGGGTTTAGCGCTGTTTGAGTCATGGGAACAACCATGGAGTCTCTTGCGGAGGCACTCTTTCTGCTGCAGGCTCCTAATGCACCTCCGACATCTGGTTTAATTCTAGAACGATATGCTCCCACGATCTCTATTCTAGGGGCATTCGGCTACATGTGCTGACCTTGGTCTGTACATTTTCGTGGGAAAGCCTCTTTGCGGCATGGCGTCTCAAGGCCTTCCCTCTGCAATTATACATCCTAAATCTCAAACCCGAAAGCCTAAACCCCTAAAACCCTATATATCTCTGAATATCCCGTTTTTACTCCCCTTAAAGAGAAAAATCCGGGCTTCAGGATTTACAGGTGCCGTGCCTCTATTTCCACTGGCGACCAGCCACTAAACTGCATCAAAGTGGGGGTCTCCAAAACTCGGGATACCCTGTTTGGGTAAGGATTCTAGTATTTTAGGGTCTACATTGGGATCCCCCTATTTATGGAAACTACCATTTCTGGGAACTACCAAGTGCACCGGCTGGCACCCTATGCCCTGCACTGGGAAAGCACTTGAACCACAACAACATACGAAACTGAGGGCAGAATCCCTGATCCTCAATCCAAGCGACCATGAATCCAGAACATGCCAAAGCCCCTCTGACATGATCTGAGGCACTCTCTTCCACCATTTCTGAACAGATTCGAACATTCTGCCCAAATTCGTCGTGGCCTCATCTGCATGTCTTGGGCAGATGTTTATGCAGGCAATCGCTACTATCAGTTGGTCAGGGTTGCTAAGGCAAGCGATGTCTTTTGGGGGAGTGCGGTTCAAGTCCAGCATTTGAAATACAGGAAATTTTCATTTAAAAAAAAAACACACACACACACACACTACTGAACCCTGCGTTGAAACACTAAACCCCGAAGTGTAGGGTCTCGAAAACCCATAAATTCTGATCCATGGTAGGGATGCAAAAGCTGTGGCCGCAACAGCTACGGAGATCTCATGACATGTACGGCAAGCTCATGCTCCCCCTCTGTGGCCTCCGGGCTAGTTATGCCTGCTCAGCCAAGGTGTCATTCCCTGACTTAAAGCCAAAGTCACAGCTCATGCCGCGTCTGCATGCTCACATATGGTATTGCCCTAAACAGGGAGACCCCAATATAGACCCCAAACTACTATAATCCTTACATATCCTTACTACAGGGACCCCCTCCAATTCTAGGAAACCCCGTATGCTCACGGATGCTGAGCAAGTGCGCTTCAAAACTAGCACAACATTCTGGCTCAATAAGCTGTAGGTCTACTTCACAAGGCAACATGGATACATGGGGGCTATATGGGGATTATGCAATAATAATGGAAAAGAAAATGGAAAGTTTTCTAGGATTTCGAGGCTTCATTAGGAGATTGTTTGGAACTTGCTTCAATCTGCCCTCCTTGGCGCAGTCCCTGAACCCTAAACGCCGTAAACCCCTTGAACCCAAACCCCTGAAGCCTGGACCCCCTAAACCCTAAAACCCTAAACCCTAAAACCCTAAAACCCCTAAACCCTAAACCCCCAAACCCTTAAACCCTAAAACCCCTAAAACCCCAAAACCCCCCAACCCTAAACCCCCAAAACCCCCAAACCCTACCCTAAACCCTAAACCCCTAAACCCTCCTTGGCGCAGTCGTCGCCTGAGTCGCTGACGGTCTCAGCTTGTGAGGCTGGTGCCGGCTCGCTTGCGCGCGCCGACTTTCCGCCTGTTTTAGGGGTTTAGGGTTTAGGGTTTTAGGGTTTAGGGGTTTAGGGTTTAGGGGTTTTAGGCTTTAGGGTTTTAGGGTTTAGGGTTTTAGGGTATAGGGGTTTAGGGGTTTTAGGGTT